GGCTGGCTGCAGGTCTCCCCATTCTCAGACAAACCCTTGTGGCTCCTCTCATATGTGTTTTGCGCAACTTCATGTTGAGTACTTCTTAATGACTATCAACCAGCTTCCAGCTTCTTCGGCATGACCCTTTCAGCCCTACCTGCGAGACTTAGGAGCGTCCAGCGTATCAGGCAAGCATAATCAGACCCTTGAGAGCATCTCCATGTCCATCATGGAAACTTCGGCACGCGCAGCGGCTGGCTAGTGGAGGCTGTGCTTGGACAGGGAAGCAGACAGTCATTTTTTAATATCATATTGTTTGGGTTTGTCCCATTACCTGTAACAGTTATTCAAAAATTATCACTATTTCGGAGAAAGGCCTTTACCAACCATCATCATCCACTGTTGCTGGTAATAGGATATACCCAACATATTGTCATCAAATCGCCAAATGTGCAGTTGCTGTGGTGTGTTTAGCTGGCTGGAGGGCTCTGCTTTTTTTCTTCTGAGCTTCCTTGGCTTTTGGACACACAATTTCTTTGAAGCTGCCCAGGTTTACAAGTTTTGAGCAAAGCCTGAGGTCCTTATATAATGCATTTCTTTTTTGTCTTGTTTTGGTCATTTGGACTTCTCACGGTTTTGTCAGTGCTGAAATTGTTTAGGAGTGCTTTACATCGTTTAGGAGTGCCATGCGATAATATGAACATGACAGGGACGTGACAATTTGGTGTGTTTGCGTTACTTCGTTAGTATCGCTCACAAATTACTTTCTGGTTTGCAAGAGTACATGGAATTCCTTTTTCTGTTTCAAGTCTCTTGGCGGTTTGCGATGTTAAGATCATTGCACTCTTTTTGCCTTTTCCTCGCATCAATCCAGCATCAACTTTTGCTGCTTCCAGCCATGATAGAATAATTAATAATGCAGCTCCACCATTCTCAGCATTTTCAGCATCATTCACGGGCACAGAACTCCTGATTTTCCCATCTGAAGCTCTTGGAAGTTCCCGAGACTTTGCAGGCGGCGATGCCTTTCGGGACGAAGTTGAGCCTGAGAACGGGGAGCCGGAAACAACGAGGTTTTCCGCATGAAAGATCACCGCCAAAGCATAATTGCTTCATTTTCCATATCTTTGTGGTTGGTTTTGGGGGGCACCCACGTTTCATCAACATTTCCCTGCCAGAGGGGGTTGAACTGGGGACTCGCTGGGCTCGAAGGTGAATTGTAGTGAGGGAACCTTTGCTATTCCGAGATACCTGTGTATTTTTTTCATCGGTGTGACAAGCAAACTTGTCCGAATTTGGCTGTTCCTTTTTTTGCTTCTTTTTCCGAGGGCTTTTCAGACATGCCCCGAAGTTGAGCTTCTGCGCAGGGTGCCCAGTATGCTACAGAAAGAGTACACAAGAGACATGGAACTTCCGTCCTAGTTGTAGTGTTTCATGGTGGTGGACCTCACTGGTTTGCTCGGTTTCTGAGGCAAAGAGTATATCTCGTTTGAGGACGCAAATACTTCAAAGCTTCGGCAGAAGTCACCACAAAGATTTGGATGCAGAAATCACCACAAAACCTACTCTAGTGACCTGCAGAACGCAGCAGATGCGCTGGAGAATGCAGTGGGGCCAGGGCCCCGTTTTCGCCGGACATGTATCTCCAGATAGACCCTCTGTACGTCTGTGAGGTGTCGAAAGACATCCGATGCTTCGACGGAGGAACTCCTGCAAGCGCGGAAGCTTATTGGACACTCACGGAGTTAGGACCGGGACAGCGGCTGACAGCGGATCGTTTTGTTTTGATTGTGGGACTGTTTACACATGTTTACACCGTTTCAAACTCTACAGGGGCGGGACACTCTGGATGTCGCCATCAGCTCAGTTGTGACTTGGTATGCTCCGCGTGATGTGAGCGAAGTCATTCGCCGAGTCCACTGTCTCGTATGGAAGCATCGAGATGGCTGCAAAGAGCCTCCGAGAAGATTGGGTTTCAGCCTGAGCTCTGGAGCCTGGCTTTCCTTCTTTGATCTATCAAGAGGAGACCCTGTGCCTGCTTTTGCTAACCATTTGAACAATTTGCGCTTTCGAAATCACCAGGTGTTTTTCAATGAATGTGCAGCTATTTTGTTTTTGAAGGCGAACAACCTTTTATTTGGACAAACCCAAATGAGCTTGGAACCTGGTCCTTTCCTTTGTTACTGCTGTTGTGTGCCGAGACCACTTGGCCGGCAAAGCTTCGGCCGCGGCGCAGCCCCTTCTTGCTGGCCTGACTCTAAGTCAACAGCACTCGGCAAAACGGCAAACATCAGGTGCCAGCCCAGGGTGTTTAGAGCAACTCCGTAGCCAGCATCCAGCGTTGCAAAGAAACTTTGTACTTTATATCAGTCTTGAATGTTTGCTGACCCGTTGATCATGAGTCAAAACTGGAGTTTTGGCACCCATGAACCAGGTCACAGGCCGCCAGAAGCTCAACTGGAAATTGAACCTGAAAAGCAAGATCTTGAAAGCAGATCGAGAGGTCGATATCTCACCAAAGACATGAATTGCCGCTTTCAGCCTTGTTTTTCTAACTTTGAGGCTTGGAGATAAACCTACATCCGCTTTATCTCAACAACCTCGGTCCGATCCTGATGTGGGAGAATGGCAAGAAAATCGTGGGCTTGGAAGACCTGGTAGACTGGTTAAAGTGATACTAGAAGTTCTTGAGTGACTCTATTCATTTATATTGAATGGATGAAGAGTATGAAGAGGACTCAAAAAAATCACCCCGGTCAGTCCCACCATTTGTTTGCTTCGTCTGCTTCCTAGGCAAAGGCTTGCGAGTGCAAGCCGGGAGGCTGTTGTTTCGCGGGGAGCTCACACACTGAAGACTTTACTTTTCTGTGACCCTGCTTGCTCTGTTGAAAACAAGAAGGGTTTACAATATATATATATAGGAGATCCGTTCAAAAAGTATTGTTAGCCATTTACATAAAGCATGATCACTTCTCAACTGCAATCTTTCCAGTTGAGTCTTCGCTATGAAGCGGAGTCCTGCACATATCAGTGTTTGTTTGTTTTTTTCCCGCAAGGTGGCGCCAGAATTCCCGCTAGCTGCGCACTAGCTAGAGATACTGCAATGTCTAACATCACCATCACGTGGAACCATGAATAGATGAAGATTTATCGAGCAACTTCACAGCCATTTCTGTGCTTCTTTGTTTACTCAAGCTTTGCCATAATGTTCCAAAGAGTTGCCAAGCTCCATGTGGTTGCTTTGGCGTGCTCTCCAGTGCATGTGTGCAGGGCTTTTATGTTCTCCGGTGTGATACGAAAAGTATCATATGACATAGGCTGTGTTGAAAGATGGCAAGGTCGAATTTCATGTTCTCTGGTGTCTGTAGTTGAGGCCAAGACTGCTACAAATATGGGGTTGAGATTGCGCTAGCCTCCACTATAGATCTGCGCTGGGACAAGTTGCGCAAAACCTCTCCACGAAGGCAGCCTGCCATTCATGTAGCTAACCACGCAAATAGTGGTACTTGTAGCTGAACGCCTGGTCGGAAGAGTTTTCTACAATAACCAGTGCTGTGATCAATCGCCGCGAAGACGGGCATGCGTGACACAGGTGCGCAGGGTGATTCTATAGAGATGAAAATTGCACGCTATGAGTGTCATCTGGCTGCAAAGAGGAAGCGGCCTGCAGCCAAGAGACAGCGGCATCTCCAACTTCTCAAAGAGACAGGAGAAGAGTCTACCAGCAGCAGCAACAACAGCAGTCGCGAGGGCAGCGAATGAGCCGCCGCGCTAGCTGAAACCCTAGAAAAATCGGAGTTTCTTTGCGAACGTGTCAACCTTGTGTGTGGAAAAGCTAGTGTGACTTGAGTCACGTTCAGACTTCGATTGAAAGACCACTACTACTACTGCTGCTGCTGCTGCTACTACTACTACTACGACGACGACTACTACTGCTACCACTACGACGACGACGACGACTACTACTACTACTACCACTACTACTGCTGCTACTACCACCATTGCTACTACTACTACTACTACCACTACTACTACTACCACTATTACTACTGCTACTACTACTGCTGCTGCTACTACTGCTGCTACTACTACTACTACCACTCCTACTCCTACTCCTCCTACTACTACTACTACTACTACCAGAATAGTCTTCGGGGTCCGTCCTTTACCAGCCCTTCAGCGGTACTTCCTTCGCTTGCGTACTTTATATACTTGAAATGGTCTTGGACTACTTCGTCCTTAACTGAGAGTTTAGGGATTCCATGCATAGAAGTGCCACCTTTGTTGAGACTTGTCCATGAGCACACGACCGCATGTCCACACCGCAGACAGGGCGGGATCGATCGCGCGAGCCCCAAAACACGTTTGTGCGTTGCCGGTTGATGGCAGTGGTTGTTCGCTAGTTGACAGCGACAAATCGAGAAGTGTACAACATTGAGTTTGTTGGTTGTTGAGTGCCCGCTTACCAAGTTCATGGTAGCGGAGCACGTTGCTCCGGGACCATGACAATGACGGCGACTTCAGGTGGTGGTAGCAGCGACATTCCAACCTGGAACGGAGAGGCCACATCTTTTGAAGCGTTCGCTATAGCATGCAGGTGGTATCAACGATCCCTCAAGGATAGCGAGCAGAAGCACGCAGCAAGCGAGGTTTGGCAGAGACTCTCTGGAGCCGCTAAGGCGGTAGTCAAGCATCTACCACCTGAGGACTACGAGGATGCTGACGGTCTGGAACGCCTACTTGGTGTCCTTAGAGCATCGCCGTTGCAGCAACTCCCCATCCCTGACAGTTTTTCTCGTTTGGAGTCCTGGCACCATCTCAAGAGGAACAATCGTGAAAGCATCCCCGAACTCCTCGTCAGAGAAGAAGATTTGTTTCAGCAGCTACAGCAGTCATTGGAGAGGGCGCGAATGTCCAAAACCGGAATCCGCTCAGGGGTGAGCGAACTCGGACAAGCGTTCCTCAGTCGACCTGGTACATTGCCTGTTGATCCGCCTTCTACCCCCTCACGATCTCTGATGGCAGGTGCACGAAGAGCAGCTACTGAAGGGCCAGCGACGGAGCTCCGGACAGAGGCCACCCAAACGGGCGCGTCCCCACCGTTGATGGCCAACTTCTTCGAAGACGAGTTGAGAGGGTATAGATTGTTGAAGGCTGCACGACTTACAACGGCTGAGAAGCAACATGTGCTCACTCAAACAGCAAACAGTACGCACTACCATGCAGTACGGTTGGCCTTGCGGACATTGTTTGCAGAGGAGGCTGAGACAAATGTTGCAGGAGGCCCTCATGAACGACGTCGTACAGCCTGGGTCATTGAGGACGAGTGGGACGGGTTTGAGTCCTACTATGGTGCTGGCGAAGATTGGGAAGAGTGGAGTCCCCAGAGCTGGGAGGATTGGTACGAGCCCAATTACTGGCAAGATTGGACTGATGAGACGACAGAGCAATGGCAAGACGATTGGATCGAGGAGGAGACCATCCCCCGACGAGAACAGTGACTTGCTGGAGGAGAGGCAGTACCATGAGGCCTTCGCCTTAGCTTCCGAGGCCCAAAGAACCTTGAAGGAAGCCAGAGAGGCAGTTCGCCGAACAAGAGCTGCAAGGGGTTACTACGCTCCTGAAAGCAGTACAGGCAAGGGCATGAGTCCGACTTCGTCTCAACTGTCCAAAGGCAAAGGCAAGGGGCGCTCGAAGAAAGGAGATGGCAAGGCCAAGCGACCTTTCGGACCGTGCTTCATCTGTGGGAAGCCAACCCATGGATATCAGCAATGCCCAGACAGGTTTGCAAAGGGCAAGAGCAAGGGCAAGGGCTTTGGCAAGAGCAAAGGAAAAGGAAAGGGCAAGCCAACGTTTTTTCAGATCCTGCTGTTTTCACCGTGAGCTGGGATTCGCAAGTGTTGCATGGTCGACCGGCAACAAAGGCTGTCATCGACACAGGTGCCACTGAGAACGCAGTGGGCATCAACGCACTGAGCGACCTGGTTCAATTTCTCCTACGCTGTTCCCAAGGATGACCTTCCAACTTTTAGATTTGGCAACGGCCTGACAGACCGGGCGATCAGCCGAGTTGATTTGTTTGGAACAGCACTGGGGACGATGCCTTTCTACGTGTTGGGTGGTACAGGCTCTTCAACCCCACCGTTGATTGGAGCAAAACTGTTGCGGAGGAAAAATGTGTTGATCTCGTATAGCAATGGGATGTTCATTTTTCAGCCGGAGACACCTACAACACAGTCAGAGCAAGACAGCAGTATGCAAGCAGTTCAACTGGAGGCATTGGCATCGGGCCATCTCACCATCGACTTGGCCTCCCAACCTACGACAGTTGCCAAGGCCCAAGAAGTTTGGTTGCTGCGGTCGCCAGAGTCAGACAGTTTTGCGCAGAGCATTGAGCAGGGTTCGCATGGTGTTGAGAGTTGTTTGATGATGGTTGATCAGAGCAGTTCATGTTTTCTGGATTCATCGTCGCAGCCAATTTCTGGCTGGCTACAGCTTCTGGCCCAAAAGCTTCAAGCACTCCGTGATCAGCAAGCAACTCGGCATGACCAGCAAGGAGCCCTCAGCATGCGACGATCCCAGGCTGTCCGGCTTCCCCTGCTATGGCAGTCACAAGGAAGGTGCACTGAGGCAGAACCAGTACGCCGCATGGACCATGTGCACAAGTTGTGGCCTCCGTTTGAGGTACACGACAAAGAAAGAGGGCCGTGGCCACACTCGCCAGATGGGTCCAGATCCTTCCATCATTCGCCTTGCCCTCGAGACACTCCAGAAGACGACAAGTGCGGCAGAGATGAATGCCGACATGGTGAACGGCAAAATGATGGAAATCAAGGGAACCATGCTCCAGATGGGATTCAAGACATCCTTGTCCCTGAATCTGACCTTGGCGGAGTACGAGAAGAGGCCGGCCGAGCGGATGGAGTGACTCAGATCCCCAAGGCCGAGGGCAAGACAGCCGAGAGCAAGCCATCCGAGGCAGCTCCGCCAAAGACGAAGGGCGTCCCCAGCCCAGGGACACCAGCCACGACGGTGCCCGGCAGTCCCTCACAGCTGCCATCCAGTGCAAAGACTCCGGACAGCCCACTGAAGGAGAGCATCCTGAAGATGAAGACCAGGGTGAAGAAGAGCCCAAGTCCGGCAAGGACCAAGGAGGAGAGCCGATCTCAGTCCCCCACCAGGGGATACCAACCTGGGCAGCCGTCAGAGTGGGCAGCGGTGGAAGCGCCAGTGATCGATGTGACCTCCGAGGACGAGCTGATGGAGACGAAGGAGACGGCCAAGGAAGATCCCTGATGGGGACCATCATGTCGCTGAAGGAGCGACTGCAGAAGATGTCAACATCCCCCACAATACCCACAGCTCTCACCAGCCGACCAGCGATCAGGCAGCCGACTGCATTGATCACACGACACACACCACGAACGCGAGCAGCACCACGAGCACTACGACAGACACGAAGAGCCATCCACTGGCTCGAGATTCTCCGCCATTGCGTGATGAGCGCGGCACAGTTTTGCGCACACCGGCCAAGACCACCTCGCCAGGATCCACCAGTCGAGGAGGCACAGGAGGACAGATGATTCCAACCGGAATCGTGAAGAGACTCGCCGCACAAGCAGCCATATTTGGTGCCATGGTGATGGACCCCGTTCAAGGACTGTTCAGCCAGATGAGTCAAGGAGTTGACTTTTGTGAAGTGGCATGTGAGCCAAACAGTTCAAACCTCACCCAACGAACCGAGCATGAACAAGCCCAGTTCGAACAACGGCAGAACCGGGACATGAAGAGGGCAGATGAAGTCAGCCAAGGAGTATGCAGTGCACTGGAACACGGACAAAGCTTCGCATGGGAGTGGCCAACAGGTGCAGCCAAGGGCTGGAGAGCACGCTGCATCTCTTGATTGGGTCAGAAGTTGCGGCAACTTGGAAGACCAGTTTTTTGGTGCCGATTTCATGGATGCGCTTTCGGCCCTGGAGTATCAGGGCCATCCGATCATGAAGCACTGGACCGTGTTGACCAGCAATCGACAAGCATGGATGGCGCTCCAGCGCAAATGTCCAGGGCACCCAGATCACTTAGAATGCCGCGGACCTGTGGCGCAGGCATCAAGCTACTACCCCAAGGAGATGGTACGTAGCGTCTGCAAGGCAGTGATCGCCTCGTGGACATCAATGGAAGACGTGCAAAACATCTCCATGGCAAAGGACATCCAATGTTGCCTGCTGGAGATTGAGGACGATGAGACGATGACACCGGAACAGAGATGAGAAAGACACCACGATGAAGGGCAAGTACATACTCTGGAGAGACCGTGCGTCCGGCTTAGCTCAGGTCGATATGCTCCAAGAGTTCGCAGGCGAAACCGGCATTGACCGATGGGAGCCAAAGACGGCGGATGTCCTGAGGTCTTTTGGAAAATGGTTGATGAACAACCCGGCCCCAAGATGGGTGATCTCCGATCCAGCCACCTACTACAGCTCGGACTTCATCGACTTCATGGCAAGAAGCGGCATTGGCATTCTCACCAGCCCAGCAGAAGCCCACTGGGCGATGGGAGCAGAGGAGGGATGCATTGGCATCCTAAAGAACACCTTTCGAAGGATGAAGAAAGAATGCCCCGAGCTTGGCTTCGAGGAGACGATGTGTTTGTGCGTCCATGGCCACAACCAGACAATAGGACCAAGTGGGTTTTCATTCCAATGGACCAGAGGAGCTGACGCTCCGGAACCATCTCTCCCAGCTGGCATCCAGCCACAAGAAGCCTTCGACCACATGCTACGCCTGAAAGCCAAGGCCAAGGTAGCATATGAGATGGAGTATGCAAGATCTCGAATGAGCCGCCTCAACAATGCAGTTGGGAGGTGATTTGGTGATGGTATGGCGGCAGCAAGGAGGCAAAGGACGATGGGTTGGGCCACTACGTGCTCTCATCCAAGAAGGCGCGACAGTATGGCTCGCCACTGGCTCAGCCATTGTGAAAGCCAAGGTGAACCAATGTCGCCCAGTGACGCGACGTGAAGAGCTGCAGTCCAACCTCGAAGGAACAGCAGTCATGAAGACCCCAGTGACGCTAGATGCATTGCTGCGACAGTTCAGTGGCAAGCGCTTCACCAACATCTGTGGTGAAGCACCTTCAGAGGAGCAGCGACAGCAAGATGTCAGCGAGACGACAGTGGCACTTGAGCCCAAGAACCCAAAAGGTAAGTTTGATACTTGGAAGAATGATGATGAGAAGTGGCTGATACGAGTCCATCAAGTTCCCCGACTGGCACTTTTCTCACCCATGAGAATGGGAACATGTCCAGTGCCTGAGACTCAGTTGACAGGCTTGAGGAGGACATATGTGCAGCCGGTGATCCCGAAATCAAAGCAAGTTTTGGTTGAAGATGACTTCAAGGAGTCAGAAGAACCCCATCGCCATTTGACAGAGCGATGGACAGGGGAAATGTGGTTTGAGAAATCCACGAGCGCAGCATCGAGCCCTGACAAAGCGGTGACAGAAGACAAGAAGAGAGGCCCGAAGAGAAAGGCCCAAAGTCTTCCAGGAACGCCTCGAGGGCAGCCTTCCACAACAGCCCCTGAAGGAGAAGTACTTCCTCCGACACCTGCTGGAATGCCAGCAACACCTCGTCCTGGATTTGACGAACCCCAGGAAAAACCGCAAGAACGAGGAACAAGATCTGCAATCGGTAACCAATGTGCAGTGAAAGAGTGCATGCTCCCAGGAGGCCATGAAGGTCTGCGCTTGAGCAGTGACAACAAGAGGTTCCATTGGAACTCCAAAGATGGACGAGTCGATGAAGAAGATTCGACCTCCTCCTCCTCGTCAGAAAGCAGCAGCAGCTCATTGGAAGAGATGATTGCCGATGAAAAGAGGAAGCCAAGGCGGAAGAAGCCGCCAGACAAGAGGCAGAAGAAGGAAGCCTCAATGTTCATGACGGTGGAAAAGGACACCGTGTTCTGTGTCGAGATTGAAGTCGACCAGAAAGACATCCAATGGCTGATGAACCATCCAGCCAAATCCTCCATCTGGATGTCAAAGAAAGTGATGGAGAAGGGGAAAGAAAAGGAGTGGCAGAAGATGACAATGGACGAAAAGATGTCCTTCGACTTAGCTCAAGCTAAGGAGCTGAGTCAGGTGCTCCAGTCAAAGGCCCTCCGGTCCCTGACCATCCAGGAGCAGAAGAACCTGGATCCGAAGACGGCGATGTCTATGAGGTGGGTTCTCACCACCAAGAGTGATGGCACCAGCAAGGCCCGTCTCGTGGTCCTAGGATACCAGGCACCAAATCTGGTGTCCGTCCAAACGGCCAGTCCAACCATGAGCCGCCTGTCCAGAAACATGTTGCTCACGATGTGCGCCAACAGTGGCGTGACGCTGCGTGGAGGCGATGTGACATCGGCCTTTCTACAGGCTGACCAGTCACTTGAGGACCAGCAATTGACGGTGTGGGCCCCTAGTGAGTTGGCAGTGTTGTTTGGCGCAGCACCTGAAAGCCCCACCATGGCTTTGCGTGTTTGCAGGGCTTTCTACGGTTTGGTTCAAGCTCCGAGGGAATGGTTTGAACACCTGGCCAGCACCTTGACAAAGATCGGCTACAAGTCGTTGAAGAGCGATAGATGCATTTTCATCCTGCAAGATGAATCACTCCCAGACCGTCCTGTGAAGAGCATTGTGGGATGCCACGTTGACGACCTTCTGGTCGGTGGAGTTGAGGGTTGCAAGATCTTTGAAGCAGCTTTCGCGAAGCTCAAGGGTGCATGCAAGTGGGGTCGTTGGGACACCAAAGATTTCACTTTTACAGGGTGCAACATTTCCACAAGTTCAGATCAGGTCATCAAGCTCAGCCAGAAAGACTATACAGAACGTTGGATTGAGGAGATCTCAATTGCCCCAGACAGAGCAAAGCAAACTGGTGACAAGGCAACACCGGCAGAGATTTCAGCTTTGCGTGGTTGCATTGGTACCATGGCATGGAGGAGTTCACAGAGCTCACCACAGTTCTTGGCCGATGCCGGCCTTTTGTTGTCTGAGGTTCCCTATGCAACAGTGCGCGCGCTGGTGAAAGCGAACAAGGTGGTTCGCGAGATGCGCCGGGAAGCCGCGCAGGCTTTGTGCTTTTTTCCATGGAAGCGAGCTTGGCGAGACATCGCCGTCGTGGGCTGGGCGGACGCCTCCCAAAAGAACCGTCCGGACCATAGCTCAACCATGGGCATTGTGCTGGGCATGACGCCAAAGGAGTTTTTGAGCGGAGAGGAGCTTCCGGTCAGTTTGATCCAGTGGAAGTCCACACGTGCACCTCGACAAGTTCTAGGCTCGAACGGAGCCGAAGTCCAGGCAGTGACGGAAACTGAAGACATGGTTTTCCGAGCTAGAGCGCTATGGTGCGAGATGAATGGTTTGTCTTTTGAGCGGGACACCATTTACAGCATGGTGAAGGACAACACCAGTGGAGCAGTTGTGATGGACACAAGAGGAATTTTTGACGCTGCAACTCGAAATGTTTCAAGCTTGCACGGCCTTCGTTCGTCCCGATCTGGCTACGAGTTGACAATTTCTGTTTCTCAGGCATGCCAAGTCGGAACTGAATTCCGATGGGTACACGGCGGTGTACAGTTGGGCGACAGCTTGACGAAATGGGGAAGCAGAAAAGTTCTGTTGCAATTTTTTGCTGGAGGTCAACGATGGAAGCTGGTTCATGATCCAAAATTTGTAGCCGGCCGAAAGGTCAGGAAGAAAGAACTCGAACGACTGATGCGAGAGCGTCAGGATCAGTTCTTTGCAGCCATAAAGGCATTGGCAGAGCAGTACAGATGGCCGTGGGAGCCAAGTGGATCAAGTCTCAGAAGTATGGGTGATGAGAGTTTAGGGATTCCATGCATAGAAGTGCCACCTTTGCTTGAGACTTGTCCATGAGCACACGACCGCATGTCCACACCGCAGACAGGGCGGGATCGATCGCGCGAGCCCCAAAACACGTTTGTGCGTTGCCGGTTGATGGCAGTGGTTGTTCGCTAGTTGACGGCGACAAATCGAGAAGTGTACAACATTGAGTTTGTTGGTTGTTGAGTGCCCGCTTACCAAGTTCATTAACAAAAAATCATTTGGCCTTGTCCTTGACTTTTTTTTGGGACCTGTCCTTTACCAATAATGTCTTCAGGGAGCTTTCTTTGCCAAAAGCAGCATTTGGGGACCGGTCCTTTACTCGAAATATTCCTCAGGGCACACTCTCTGTCAAACATGGGTGTAAAATAGTAGTCGGACCCGAGCTGTCCTGGAGTACCTCGGCCTTTACTTCCTTTCGTTCAAAAGTAGCTGTGGTGGACCCGGCGTGTCTTGGATTGCTTCGTCCTTAACTATATATATAATCGTCTTCACGAACCTGTGCTTGAGTGAAAACCGTCTTCGGGGACTTGTCCTTTATTGGAAATAGTCTCAGGGGATTTGTCGTTTACTTGAACTAGTCCTCGGGTGGGACCCGACCTGTCTTCGTGAACTTGTCCTCGACCAAAACAAAAACAGGGGATGAGACATCCATGACTGGGAATATTCTTCCAAGAAACCTCCGGTACTGCAAATGGGAGGCTTTCTGTACTGAACATGGACTGCTGGAGGACCCTTGAGGACCCTTTTGCCTTTTGCGCCCCACGTGTAAAATCGCTGTTTTTTCTAGCATTTTTATTGCTCCGAAGTATCTCCGTTTCCATGCAGGTGAATGTGTCCTTTCATGTCTCCAAGGATGCGGTCTCGTTCATGTCTCTCTTCTTCTCTGGCCAGTTTGTTCCAGATGTCCAATCAACACGCACACCTTGCTCATTTTGGCAACGACTTGGTGGTTGCTCCATAGAGGTGCAACATGTTATCTTCCGAGAGAAGCGGTTTCATTGTTGTGAGGTTCCACTGACGATTCGTTTTTATGCTCGATTGTATACTCTCGTGGTTTGCAGTTTTTTCGTTTAAGGTTGGGTCGAGGAGCTGCAATGCCAGGATCTTGGCTTTGTAGAAAAACTTGACTGAGTGCAGGAATGCCATTTTCAAGAACCCAATCGAGAGGCAATGTGGACTTCTTAAACCTTTGAGTCTTTGGTATGTCGGTCATGCAGGTTGGCATTGTGCAAAACTTTGTACACATGGCTAGACTCGACATTGAGCAAAAATGATCATCAGCCGAATCAGCCGAAGGACTGGCGGTTTGGCATTAATTGTAACCATTTGCCCCGAAACAGGGTGCCTGTCCTCATCCAAGTCCACATGTTCCTTTTGCATCATCAAAGTCAAGCAACTCGATTAGATTAGAGTAAGAGTCTGCAAAAAGGCTCTATCATTATGTGAGCACTCACTGCCACAAAATGTTGAAACTGACTATATATGTTGAAACTGACTGGGCCAACTAAGCAGCATTGTTGGTGGATTGGTGTTTTACGAAAAGGTGTCTCCAATGTTCCATCAGTGACACATTTCCCAGTGTCCCATCAAGCAACTGTATTGTGGCATCCTAGGTCGGGATATTGCAAGCATGTTGCATTCATGTTCCTCCCTTGTCTGAGCTAGTTCTTGAACATTAAGGCATTCCTCTGGGATTCCAGGAGCTCACACCTGCCTTGCACTTGGGCTGTGACTTGTGTGCCTCGTGTGATGTGTAGACTTACACTGATGCACGAAAGTACATGTGATAGAGCAGAGATCCCAAGGCTGGAAAGTATGGGGCAGTGGCTGCGACCTCGGCGCACTGAAAGGACGTTTGGAAGTTTGATGAAGTTTTTATGTGTCGAGAGGTTACTACTTCGCCCTTTGTGCACTTCTATATGGTGTTCAAAGCTGTTGCATTTGCGCCCAAGAAGGCGTGCTGGCAGCCCTGCATTTGAGGGTGGGCGAGATGCGTTTCTGTTCAAAGTTTAGTCCTTTAGTTCAAACACTTTGTTGAACATATGGACATGTGACATATGGATCTGACTTTTAATTGGGGGCTTTGCAGACAGTGCTTGCTAGAAGGTAAAGTACATGGAGTATCCAGTGGTCAGGGTGGACGCCTATTCTGATACACACTCACACTCCTGTCAATGAGCTTCACAGGATGATTGGTTGATGGGGCGTCTTTGCCAAGTCCAAATTGAGGCGCTGGAGCCTCTCATTCTGAATATGCTTGGATTGAAGACACCAAGAGATTGATTTCGTTGCATCATGTGGAGGACGGCATGAACATCACGCTTGCAGGGCTTTTTAATTGCTTCGTTGCAAGCTCAGGCTGAACTTGTATGTTTTGACACCCATGTTTGGCTTGAAAGGAACCCTTGACTTGGAGAATTAATTCGGCGGTGTGTCATCGCGATCGCCCTTTAGCTGGCTAGCAGCTAGTGAAGCTAGCGCATTGAGCCAACTGCAAAAAGGATTCGCCCGATGGCGAGCATACCACGAAGTCTATGAGAGATTGTGAGGATAAAGGGCCGTCACACAGTTGTACATCAGTATCACTGTCACTACGGAATCCACTCAGATCAAAGCTTCAAATTTGCCCAGCGGCTTCAGGCAGGTGTCAAGCCGAGTGCTGTGTTTTGACAAAGTTACTGAATGTTACTGGCTTCAATTCGCTACTGTACTCCCCTCACTTTGATTTGACCTATATAACTCGTGCAACTCCACTAAAAACAGCACCATTGTGTCCCTGTGCTCATTTGTGCTCATTTGTGCTCTCTGCAAAGCTGCGTGTCCTACTTTTCCGCTGTGAGACGTTTTGCCGTTTTCCGCCTTGGACGCATTGGTCGGAGGTTTTGCAGTAGGACCAAGCGGTGGCTGGATGTGAGAGCAAGCCTCCCGGAGAATGCACCTCCCTCAGATGATGAGACCGCGCCGGTTCGCACAATGGTACGGTGGACCTCACGGTTCGCACCTGAGGAGAGAGGCGAAGTGCAAGGAGCGGAACCAGATCGGGTGTGAAGTCCCAGAGACAGGAATCAGCCATGGTTGAAGAGTCTACCTTGAAGGTCTAGTCCTTATGCAGGTACTTGAGGTACTTCGGAGCGCTTTTTTGATGCACCTTTCTCACTCAAGCTCGAAGAAGAGTAAACACGAGAAGCTTAGTCATATGTGCGATCAGCATAAAGCTGCATGTGCGACAAGCATGTTAGAGACCGGTTCTTGAAGACATTGCAAGTCGAAACCAGTCGACCAGCCGATTGTCACCTTTTGCCATTGTACCGCGCCGTGGACATCATGTCGCACACTCTATTGAAAGAAGCAGACCAGGTTCGAGCCGAGAGAACTTTTTGACGGACGGAAATTAAAGAGGTGCACAACCACTCGTGCAAGATTTGTGGTGGGTGAAGGGGCTCACGAGTGGTAAAGCAGTGACAGAACAAAAAGCTTTCACCGAAACCTTACACGGCCGGATCAAGTACTGTAAATGTTTGTGAGATTGGACTACATCAGCTCTATTGCTTGAACGCTGGAGCCAGGCAAACTCTCGTTGGTGGGGTGTGTGCAGATTGCTGGCTTGCATCACCAACATCATCATGATTGAATCTCGGCCTGCATGATTCCAATTCTGCACAGCTTCCCTCAAGAACTATGGGAGTTTGTTTTTGACCAACAGCTCCTACTTGTAGCCATGAATAGTTATGTCATTGTCCCGAGCATAGTAGGACCAATCTGATGAGCCGTGTGAGAGAGCTGAACTCTTTGTACTCTCCAAGATTGGCATGTACCTCGAGTACCTTTGGGCAGCCGATTGGCCTGAACTGCCTGCACACTGCGCGGGCCACAGATGACGCGAAACAGATCCGCTTGGTCACGGTCGATCGGTTTGACCGTTGCAGGTGACTATCGCAGCACCCTTGCCTGGTTGGATTTGGCTGATTGCTTTCACCGATCCTTGGATGTGAAGTATGTGAGGTATTGTTAGATGCTTTGAGCAGGTTTGATGGTGATTTGGTTTCTCCTTTTTGGGGGGTTCTTTCTTTTCTGGTTTTCTTCTCTCATGATTTCTCGGTGTTGTTCACAATGGCTGATTGGCCACAGGCTACACGTTTTCCCATGCCATGCTGCGTGGGCAGAATCTCACAATCTTCGCCTTTGTCCTTTTGATGCACTGAGTGAAGGCGGTGCGATAATTTCCAGCCATTCCGACGACAGCTTTCTTTTCATTTCAACTTGCTTCATTTATGCTCAATTTGGGTAACTGTTCGTGGGCAAAACTGAGCTTTTTGCGACGAATTTCTTAACTGTCACCCGTCAAACGCCTGCCGTTTTCCATATCTTGTGCCCTGAGTTGTGCAAGGCACGTCAAACATAAGTCTGCCAACCCAGGTAGGAGCCCTGGTAGCAGCCTGCCTTACTATGGTTGAGCATCAGCGTGTGAGGCTGGGAATCGTGTAAAGCTACGGAAAGGCGTGAATTGAGAACCCACTGGCAAGGGTACAGCACCTTATATATATATACATACACATCAAGTACTTGGTGTTCAGTCTTTTCCCAAAAAGCCCATTGGTTAGCAACATTGCCCTTACCACTCTAGTGACTATAGTGCGCAAGAAGACAAGGGTTTGCTAGCCAGTGAACAGTGAGGTGCCTCACAAGCTTGCTGAAGATGCATTCTGCAAAAGCTACTCGGACTGAGAACTGAGGGTTGAGAGTGAATACGTATTCCTCCTTATGTGTGTTTGAAGTATCCAGACCAGGTGAACATGGACTTAATTTTTGAAGGATGTTCCTAGATCGATTCAGTTTCGATCCAGAGCCAAGGGAAACGAAGATTCAGCATCTCAGCTGCACAAAAATGCTCAAACGTTGAGCTGTGCTGCTTCGGTTTCACAGCTGCTTTTAGTCCTAGGCGATCTGAGATTCCCAATTTGCTCCTGGTGCAGATCAAGCCTACCCCCATGTTTAGCACAACAGGCATCATCTCTCAAGGGGAAGCCATGAGGCTAGAAGTGTATCGAATTTTCGTAGTCCATATTGTTTAAGATAGTTGAGAACATTGAAGATGGCCATGCACCAGTACAGTATTCACCAAACACTCCATGGGGTATGGTGTACTTCCGACTTCGGGTGGGGCCATGGTGTTTTTTTGTTTTCCAGCCGCATTTGCTTTGATGGGACCAATCTGAGGTACGGCGTTGCTTGGAATACCTCGCTATCTACTCTCGTCTCATGGATGTGGCATTTCCGGGAGTTCTTCTGCTGGTGACCTTCCTCGATGTGCTTCATGAATCGAGCTGAGTTAAAGCCATGGATGGACTTCTGGCCATCGCCGATTGATACAATGGCGTGAGCAATAGATCAAGTGACATACCAAGAGTCTCTCAGTCTTGTCCAAAGCTGGCTCTTGAAGAGTGGACTGAGAGGTTTTAATTGTTCACCACAGGTACCTTTCAACTTGGAACGTTGCTTGGCTTCACTACATCATACTAACAATTTAATCTGAACGTTTCTGAGTGATTTCTTTGTGCAAAATCAACCTCAGGCCCAGTGATGCATTATGGCTGTACCGCTCTGGTGGTCTCGGCCATGGTGGGCGGAGTGGTTGCTTATGCGACTCGGCCAGGAATCTCCCACAGAGCGATATGCCCATTAAACTTGAGACAGTACACTAGCTCCTAACTACACAAGTGATGGAACTGAGTCAAACATATATATATATATACACATAGATATAGATATGCTATCCCCCTACCAATACCCACCTTTTTGCGTTGAGAATGACAGACGGCTTCCTTTGGCAAAATGTTAACATAGGATCAAGTAACGTCCCGCAATAAATCAAGCCATATCAATCCCATCTCGACCCCCAACACTAAACTAACTTAAAACCTAAATTCCACATTGACCTCCCTCTAATAATTGTGTTCTTGACAGACAGCTTCCCCTATTAATCAAGCCCATTGGCCACCAGAAAGTTATAAATATGGTTTATTGATAAACTATTATATTATGTTGCTGAAAAACATTCTTTTCTGTTACAGTAGTATCCAAGATCCCCCTACTATGGTGAAGCTGATCCATGGTGAAACTGATCTTTTGCCCCACCTGGTGCTGGTGTTTTCATCTTTTTGGATGCTGGTGTTTTCATGATCTCATCTTGATCATTCCCACCACCACCCCTCAGCTGCCTCAATCTGCTCACCCAACCTGCTATAGTGTATCTTAAATTAAGTTCAGGACAATTTAACTTCAGGAGCATAGTTTGAGCTGACACAGAAAGTCTGGCAATTGCACTGACTAATTTGGGCATGAGAGAGTTACGAAGAGGTCTTCGTACCTCCTCCCAAAAGTCTTGGTAGAATCTTCAATCTTCAATCCAGGAGGTACGAAGACCTCTTCGTACCTCTCTCATGCCCCAATCCTCTAAGTACTGGAGCCTTACTATTTCTCCATCCTCAATCCTTGAAGTACTGCACAATCATATATATATATATATTATATTACATTGTATTGTATTATACTATATTATATTATACTATATGGTGCCCTCCTGTTCCAATCAATCATGTGGAAAGCAGTCCCAAAATATCACTCAGAAAATGATCCCAACATATCACTAAAACACTAATTTACAGTAAAACACACACATTGGGTGGGTATTGGAGGGGGGGTACCATACATATATATATATATACATCGCAGAAGGCCTTTTGACCCCTCCCCCTGCGGGGTTCATGATGAGGCGGCCCTTCCGCTTGCAGCAGCTGCTGGCTTGGCCAACCAAGAGGATGGAACTGATGACGGAAGGGCAAGCTTCCCGAGCTCTGTGAGATGTGAATATCCAAGTGCATGCTCCGAAATTGAGTACGCTAAAAATCACGGTCAGAGACCAAAGTGTTATACGCTAGCTGCGATTTGAGAGATGCCTACATACTTCTTGCCTCATTTGAAGTTTGAGTTGCCGTTTGCTGTTTGGTGGCTGCATGTTTGGTGCCGGTTTGCTTTTGCTCAACCACACGGGTGGTCCAGTTGGGCTTCCTTGCTACCAGGACCTCGCAAGAGGTCTTGTTTGCCAAGCAACTGCCTTGTCATACCACTCTGCTATGCTCTTTGTCTATTTTTAGGTCCTCCAAAACTCGGTATTCCTGCAATTTCTACCTTGGTGAACAGTTTCTTCTGAGACTATGAGATTCAAGTTCCAACTTGAAGCTGCAAATGAAGTCCCCAGTCAGAAGAGTTGGATTTGATAAACCAAATATATAGTTTTCTAGACGCATGAGCTCAAGAACTCAACTGTTTTTAGCTGCACAGTATACAGTACAGTCTATAGTTGTATGGAGTTTACAGCTTACACTTATACAGTGTGTCCTAGCATGTCCTGCCTGGGATTCGGGTTTTGGAGCTGTCGAATGAGCATGAAGAACTTGCTGGCAGCTAGTAGCTGTTGATGGTGTGGTTAACGACTTTTGCTCATTGACAGTGTCGTACACTCCACTCAGATGCTCGGCAGGAACCGGCCAATGATTTGCAAGCTTGGGCGCAGAGGTGGCGTGTGTGTTCTCTGTCCCACGAGGATCATATCCAACCAAAAGCTGCAGTAGGTTGGGGAAATTCACCATTCACAACGTAGTTAACCACCTCTGGGAGTGCGCACGAATTGGGTCCAACTTGCAGACGCTCTGAAGGTCGATTTCGTCCGGCCGTGGCGTTCCCTGAATGTTTGCACGACGTTCGGCTAGCTGTTTGCTCGCGAGGCATCAGAGCCTCAAATGGAAGGTGCAGGGAGTCTCTTTGTGAGAGATGTTTCGTTCGCATGTCATGGTGGATCTCAGGATTACGCTACTACGAACAAGTGCATCGCTACTAGTAACAAGTGCCTTACTAGTAGTAACAAGAAGCTAGTAGAAACAATACTTAATTGTCAAAGTCTTGGAGTGTACATGTTTGTAAAATCAACACCTCAGAGCGTCTGGGACGATGGGACCATGGGACACACACCTGGATGCCTTTTAAAGGCTGGATGCATCATCGCCCTGCACTTTGTGCTTCCTGCATCAGCAAGGGCCCTGAGTCGACTGGTGAGGCTTTGGAGCTGTCATGATCTGTTACAGAGTCCAAAGGTTGTGTGCAGTTCCCCTTGTGAAAGATTCTTGGTCTTTACAAGAATTGTGCAGGGTGACATGTGCGATGCAACAACTGTCCCTGTCCCATACCGCAGGTTCAAGAAACAAAAACATTCAGTTTCACGTTTCCTGGTGATATTTTTTACATGAGGGCGTGGATACTAGTGTCCCAGTGTCCCACTGACCAAGGCAGCAGTGCACCACTTCGCGTGGCTTGATGCCACTGGTCGCCTTTTTGGCTTGTGTGAAGTGTCACTTACCAAGCATTTCAGACATATATACTGTAACTGTAATACATAATGATGCTTTTCATCATGGTACCTCACAGAATTTGTGAGATTGAGATTCTAGTTTGGTATATAGTAGTCCCTTTGCAGGTTGTTGGTTGAACCAGGTTGTAGGCAGCCAGTGACCTTGACCCGGCGAGCAACCTGGTGAGGTCAGCGATATTGAGTTATCAGATTTTTCTCGCATCTTTTGTCACCGATGACTTTGCAGCAGTGAAGTTTGCTGTGTCCATTCCAACCTCGAAGGCGCGTGGCGACACATTTTCTATTTTCTAGAGAGAGAGAGAGAGAGAGACAGATGTATGACGAGAGACACACCATGTGCCCTTCTTTGTTGACAGCCGTTGCTTCATGTTGTGTTCAAGAATCCGACAGCTAGGCAGCGGCCTCGTTGACAGGAAGGCTCTGAGTGGATAGACGAGTTGCGATTTGGAAAGCGTGAGCTTCAAAGGTTGGACGGTCCCACGGTGTGCGACCGTTTGGATCATTGGTGTTTGGTTCCATATGCTGCCAGTGGTCAAAAGGAGATCCAACCTTTGACAGGTACATAAGCGACTCACTTGATGTCTCAAATCGACATATTGTGCCTGGCAACAGGCAGAAGATAGCGGATTAGTGGCTGATTGCTAGCAGAGGGACAACAGAGTTTTCGAAGGCTCTTAATCATTGGGTAGCCACGGCCAATTCGTTTGGTCTGCAATTTGCCTCCCTTCATTCATCTAGCACTGGTCGGCAGTCAGCATGCCTTTCTACCACCAGATCTGGTCACAAAGATGCCCGTTCAGTCTTGGTTGCTCTGCCTCCCTTCATCTTCTAGTAGATCAAATCACAACAGGACCTCCACTTCAGCTGTGAGCTATCATGTCTCCCTGCTTGCCTCGCGTGGGCCTTCCAATGCATTTGGACACAATGGCCTTCCACTTGAGATGTTTTTCTTCACGTTTCTCACTTCTCTCTCCTTCATATCTGCACTTGCGTTCGCTGCCGGGGTGACCTAGTGACCTTACCTTAGCAAATCGGACAAGTTTTGGAACAAAAGTCGGGGGATGTACTGTAGTACTTGTGGATAGTACTTGTGGATCGTGCGAACATGTGCGAACACTCGCCAATCTTGCGAGATCATTGCGTCCGTGACAGGTTGGAAACACTCTGTTGAGGAAGATGTTGATGTGCGTCTCATGTGACGATATGTGTCTCATGGGTTTCGCAAGGTGTAACAACCTTTGGGGCACAGGTCATGACAGCCTTTGAGGGGCCTCTTGAAGTCCGACCACGCTATCCCACAGTGTTTGATGTCAACTAGGTAATGTGCAGTCAACAAGGCCACATGAAAATGAACCCAATGCACCGGTGCTGCAGTAAATCCTTCTGGTCTCACCACTTCTTGTTTCTAGATCTGAGCACAATATGATGCACCCACCCACCATGTGTGTCTTTTGTTGCTTCCACTTACAGTATCTGCCACTTGGTAGCTGTCGTGATGTGATCTTTGCATCCCTCTTTTGTGTTTGGGGGGTGCTGGTGGGACGGTTTTTGTTTCAGCGGTTTTATTCAACGCGCTTGTCAATTTGAGGCATCTCCAGAGCTAGTCGAAGCCGTTTTAGGGTTCATTTGTGGCCCGGGCTGAGACGGTCGTTTGGCCTCCGGTTGGCCCTGGCTCTTGGCTTGGCCACCATTCTGAGCGTAGGCCATTGAATCGATGGCCATGCGTAGACCATTTCTGCAATTCGCAAGGATTGTGGTACAGGCGCATTTCTGCTCGGGCACCTGATCCTTGCCCTAAAGTTGCACCCCGGCGATTTTCAGACTGTAATGCAAGCATTCGGTCGTACACTGAGATGGAGGTAGCGGGGCCATGAGGGAAAGATTGAAAGTGTTCTGATTCTGATCAAGTGTTTGAACCCCATGGCCCTTCATTATTCGATTGCTCAGACACCACAGTCGACTGTCGCAGAAAAGCGCCATTGCTGCAAAGCCTGTGCTTGAGGGCGTTACAAAAAGTGCTATAAGCCTCATTCTCCCAAGCTGGCGTGGCCAGGTCTACTTGCGCCTGACAGCTGATGCTTTGGTTGACAAGTTCCAGCAATCAGGCTCGGACCCTAGCATATCCAAAGTTTTCATGTGTATTTACAAATATTGGCAGAAAACACTCCGTCAAAGGTGTGGGAACTTGCAGTTCCTTTTTCAGTTTCTCCAGGATGAGTTCCTGGCTATCTTTGTTTCCCTCACACCTTCACCTCTTGGCTCTCCCGACATGGTCTTCCTGTGTAGTCCATAAACCCAACAAATGCAGCGAGATGATTTGTGGACGGCACGCACACACACACACACTGGCTCACGAGAGATGATCTGAACATATCAGAACTTTATATAATCTGAACCAACTGTCCCCACAATCCTCTCATATCTTTCCCTTCGAATTCATCTTCCTACGAACTTACAGCATTCTTTAAGATTCAACCTTTGGGCCGCTCGACACGTGTCGGAGCGCGAATCGTCAACATGTCCGGCTTCGTGGCCCCGAGCCTCCCCGGCCGAAACTGACAGAAGTGGCCCTGTGTTGCTTTTTTGCGTTCACGATGAGGGTCCGGCTCTGCTTCTCCATTCCCAGTCGTCTTGGCTCAAATCTTCAACCTCTAAGGCAAGTTGTGCAACTTCAGGGCCAAACTAGGCATGGTGCAACGATCACTTTGGAGCTGCATTGGCTGGAAATGACAGATCCTACTAGTGAAGTTGCCGAAAGGCTGGCCGCCGGAGGAGGTGCCACGGCTCCTGAAGGAGGTCAGGCTTTTGTTTGACACTCTGGTGCTGCTGGGTCACTCTGCTCACAAATACTGTCACAAACAAGTGGTAGGTGCAAGCACGTGAAAAGGAAGAAGCGAGGCTTGCGCCTGGTAGCAGAAGATGCTGGAATCCGGTTTCCACCGCTTAATAGCCTGCTGAAGTGACTTGCAGGCGGCAAAAGCAGAGGCAGTTTTTTTGAACAAGCTGTTCAATCATCAGAGCAACCTGAAGAAGAATATGTAGAGCACCTTTGGCATACCCAAGTGATTATGAGAAGGTTTTGAGGGGTGAGATTGGTTGCAGTGGCCTGATTTGGTCAAGGCCTAGCAGCAAAGTTGCTGGCTCAGGCCAGGACGGCACTAAGTGAAGATGAGGTGTGGGGAGGAACCTTTATACCTTTGGGCACAAGTGGGGAACGCATGCGTGGCATGGAACCTTTAGAGGGACTTTTGTGTGACTAGTGGAACCCCCCTTGAAAGAGGCATACGAAATTCATCATGACCCAATTGGCATTGTGGGATGTTTATTTGTCCGCTCATTTTCATGCACATAGCCTACATCATATGCTGTGGGTCACTGATGCCTCTTGCACCATGTGGATGACACGCTTGGCAGTCCAGACACTTTCATACCAAAAACAATAGCAACAAGGCACTCCTTTGTCGTCTAAAAGAAAAGCAACGCTTTACTTGAACACGTGCAAACATCACTTCGGCAAGATCTAATATCTTACTTATGTCGCTTGTTTTGTGTCCGTGTCTGTCTCTCTGTGTGTGTGTGTGCCCCTTGTAGTCACAGGGATTCAGTTGAATTGTTTCTTCAGCAGGGGGCCAAGACTCCCTGGCGCGCGTCCTGGGCAACGAAGACCGCGCGCCAGGGAGGTGAAAACGTACCTGCTATTGTTAAACTGTTGATTGGTTGCTGTGGTCCCTTGGTTTGTTTCATGGTGATTCATGTACCTGATGTTGTTCCAGGAGGTGTTTAGGTTTTCAGGTACTTCATAAAGGGCTAATGCACGTTTCGCCGTCATCCTGTCGCTCGTCCGTTTTTCGTTTTGAGCTCTGGAGATCTTTAACTTACCTGAACCTGGAGATGAGTCCTGCACGCACGTCGTCAACCTGTCGCGTGATCGTCGATGCTATTGGCTTGGTCTACCTGTACCCTTAGGAAATGGTAACCTAGGCCGGCGTGTGGCACCGCTGTCAAGTCAGTACGCATTTCCATAAGTGTGTTTGGCCTCGTGCCAACCCGGGATGAGCCCGTAGAGTGCCTCCCGTGGACCCGTCGAACGGGGGTTTGTCGTTATCTCCCCTGCCCGGAGATGTAAGTGTCCGGAGCGGACAGCAGATGGCTTATGCCACAAGAAGTGGGATGTTTGTCTCATTTTTGGAATTCCAAGTTGGCTCATGCCTTTACGTGACCGCAGCGGTCAGAGGTGGCCGCCCTCGGGCATGCCGTACGTGGTCGCAGCGACCGAATTTTGTTCAAGGTTCATTGGAACCTGTCGCGAGCTAGTCCCCCCTCCTTCCCCTTCCCTCCCCTTTCTTTCCTTGCTTTTTGGGGTTTTCCTGAATGGAAGACTCAGGATCGCCCCTTTCTTTCTTTGGTGTGGCCCTGGACGACTGTTCGTAGCTGGGAACACCTGCCTTTTCCTTTTCTCTCCTCTCCCTGTCTCTCTTTCTCTCTTTCTTTCTTTGATTTCTTTTTTTCTTTCTTTCTTTCTTTCTTTCTCTCTTTTCTCTCCACCTTCCTTCCTCCTTGGGTGTCCCTGGATGCTTTGTCACAGCTGGGAACCCTTCTCCGCTCCTCCCTTGGTGTGTCCTTGGACGCATGCGTCGTAGCTGGGAACACCTTCCTTTCTTCTCTTTCCTTTTTCTCGTCTCTCCCTACCCCTCCCTCCTGTCGGGACCTTAGCTTGGGTTGCTACTAGGGGCTCCTGGCCTTCCTACTGTAGGTGCTAGGACCCTACTTTGACGCTACTAGAGGTTCCTGGCCTTGCTACTACTTTGTCGATACGCCTCCCCTCGGGGAGGCGTGTGTGTGTGTGTGCCCCTTGTAGTCACAGCGATTCAGTTGAATTGTTTCCTCAGCAGGGGGCCAGGACTCCCTGGCGCGCGTCCTGGGCAACGAAGACCGCGCGCCAGGGAGGTGAAAACGTACCTGCTATTGTTAAACTGTTGATTGGTTGCTGTGGTCCCTTGGTTTGTTTCATGGTGATTCATGTACCTGATGTTGTTCCAGGAGGTGTTTAGGTTTTCAGGTACTTCATAAAGGGCTAATGCACGTTTCGCCGTCATCCTGTCGCTCGTCCGTTTTTCGTTTTGAGCTCTGGAGATCTTTAACTTACCTGAACCTGGAGATGAGTCCTGCACGCACGTCGTCAACCTGTCGCGTGATCGTCGATGCTATTGGTTTGGTCTACCTGTACCCTTAGGAAATGGTAACCTAGGCCGGCGTGTGGCACCGCTGTCAAGTCAGTACGCATTTCCATAAGTGTGTGTGTGTGTTTGTGTCACACTGTCTCTAAGAGTTCCAAATCCACCTCACACAGCAGGGGGGCAAGGCCTCCAGCGATGAACCTTGTCCAACGAAGCTAAATCGCTGGAGGGGAAGCGGATGGAGACGTCCATTCGTGTACCTGCTTGGAGACCGGTGATGCAAAACAGTGTATATACACCTGTTGTTCTCGGCCCTTTATAAGGTCTGTTTCCAGGTTCCAGGTCGTTTCTGCAGTAATTAAAGTGCTAGTGCATCCGTGATTCAGTACCTGAAGTTTATGCTCGTTCATTTGAGCTATATATAGCTAAGTGTGCAACCCTTGGACTCACAGGGAGCCCTTCTGCGTGTTGGGTGTTGGGGTGAAGGCACGATAGCGCCAACAGCCAACGAAGCTGGGTGATCTCGTGGGATGTGGGACTCGGCCAGTCCGTACCTGCATCGCTTGCATCGGTGGTGATTGTTGTAAGTACCGTCCACTTGTAAAGGTGAAAGGCTTTTTAGGTTTCCAGAGGGCTCCGTGCAGGTGTCGCAGTAGAGCGCAGTAGAGTGGGTGGTTGAACGCAGGTGTTATGCTGGGCTCTACTGGGTTCGTTGATCTAATTGTCTATGCGTGGAATTCCCAGACGCCCCATGTGTGGCACATTGTGGCACAATCACTTACATTCGGGTCAATGATGGTCAATGTATATTACATTTTATTACATATACTGTATATATATACACATGTATTCAATGTCACTCAAACGGGGGTTGACAACGGGTCAAGCGGTGGTTGTTTTTTTGGGTGCTTGGCTTGCACCTATGCCACGCACATGGAGTAACGAAGACATGCGGACAAACAACGGAAAGGCAGCTTGCTATAAGTGAAGAAAACACTGCAAATTGCAGTAACATGTTGCTCTTGGGTGGTGAGTTTGGGATGCGTTGCACTCCGTTGTTTTGGTGAATGCCCAATGTAAGGGTACGTTGACGGTACCTTGCCCATATTGAACGGTATCTTGGGCTCATGTTGGGCAAATCTTGAGCCACCTTGGGCCTTTTTGTGCCTGTGTTGGGATGATGCTGGATCATAATGTTTGGGCTGTGTTGGGCCGCCTTAGACCGTGTTTGAGAACAGTCTTTGGGGACGGCACGTGTACAAAACGCCACCATTGAGGATGGCACTGACAATAACATTGTGTTTGCGGACAGTAGTTCATATGCGCAGTTCCATGCCACGCCTGACTCCATCTTTTCGCATGTTGTATACTGCCTTGCTATTTGGTGTCTCAACTCCTTGACATCCTTCCTGCGGTTCATGATTCCTGTGCTTCATAAATGCTTTTAAAGTGTGTTGTAGCAGGTGTGGGACGGTCAAGTATCATGTCTTCTTTGGACTCCGTCCGTTTTGTAGAGACGGTGCTCGCATGCCTTACATACTGCTATCGTTCGCTACGTCGTCGCCTTTCCGTAGATCGCCAAGCGGCAGAGTGGAATGAAGTATGGAGAGTACATCAACAAAGACCACCCTGCTAAGCGCTTCAGCAACTTTATTTTCAGATTATATACATCATTGACCACACCGGTCACTCAGTCATTCAGAGGCAGATATGTTTGAAACTTAGTGACTTAGTGGCCACTGCTCCGTCGACGGTGAAAAACGCTGGGCACAGGCGATGGGCCGGAAGAGGTGCGCTGAATGACAGGAAAAGTGGAGTAGCAAAAATACGCCAACAAAAGGTGTATATATATATAATATTTTGTCAACTTTGTGCATGTTTTGACGATATGGATGTGGCTCAAATGATCAGAGCTGGTGACAAGCAGGTTTTAGTCTTTTACGAAGCCACAGCCATACCGTGGAAAACACTCAGCATCAGGCTTCGCTTCGTTGCTTGTTGATGTTGAGGCATCGAAACCCAAGCGAAAGCTGGCGGATGAGGTTGGACCAGTGGAGTTTTAGGAATCCTGTTTAGCAGCGACATGGCAGACCGGAACTCAAGCCTGGACTTTGTTCCATTTTGCATTCTCTCAGGATCCTTCAGCTGCTTCAGGAAAAAAGAAGAGACTGAGACAGATGGCCGGGCGATTTTGAACCATTGTATTTGTGCAAGTTTTGCATCATGTTTTGTCCTAAACACGTCCTTGGACAATTGAACGTCCTTGAATTCTCATCATCAATTTTGTATCCGTACCTTTGTGATGTGGTTTGATGAGGCTTCGACCCCGCCCAAAGCTGAAAAGGAGGAGCGGCGGCAAGCGATTTCCTGTGAGCTTGGTTGAATGAGCCAATGTCCAGTCGCTCCGCTACCTGGTTGAGGAGACGACCTCGGCTCCGTCCCCAAGAAAGAAGCAGAAACTAAAGGAAGAGCCGAAGGTCAAGGAGGAGCCGAAAGTAAAGGAGGAGCTGAAAGTCAAGTTGGAGCAGAAACTAAAGGAAGAGTTGATGGAGGAGCAGCTCCAACTGTGTTGACCAGCGGCCCAGCGTGTTGATACCAGTTGACGCCAATGCCTTCATTTGCATCCGAATCATGCGTCGTCCTTTGCAGTTTGTACAATGCTGAATACTCTTGATAAAGGAAAGACCCGACATCACCCCACACGACCCGAGTCCCACTCTCCCGAGCTTCCCCTTGTCCGCATGGGGGGCCTCTCCCTGCCTGGTGGGGTCCCGAATGAACTTCCGGATCCCGGTCGAGGAGGAAGTTTCTCCAGCAGAGATCAAGGAAGTGCTCCAAAATGGGGATCGCAAGTCCAAAAAGAAGGAGATGAGCGGCTGGGCCAGTGGGTGCATGACTTTGGTCGCGTGCGGCAATCTGAATGTAGGTAAGAAGACTTGCAGATGACACGCAGAGACCCTGAAGCAGTTTTTTTTGCAAAGTGACATTTTAGTTGGAAGGAGCGAGGTGATGGGGCCATGTGTCGCAACACCTAATGCCTCAATTGATGGCCAGTTCAGATTGATTTGCTTGTTCTTGAGATGCCCCAATCAGATTCGAATGAATGCAAACAAGGGGGTCACCGGGCCCGCTGTTTTTTTTTGCCGCAGCCTTTGCGCCTGAAACTCTGCAACCCAAAAGCACCTTATAAGTCTGGATGGAAGTGAACCGTTCTGATCTTCTTTTGACCTGGAACCCTGAGAACGCGTGACTCCATAGCCAGGTCCCGGTCCCAACACCTTTCTGCATTCTGGAGCCATCGCTTATATTGCATTGCTTGTCCAGCTCTGCTTGTTCTTTTTGTGGATGTGGTTGGCGGTCAAAAGAGGTCTAGAATCTAACGACTCACCGCGTGAGTACTCCTTGTGAGTTGTTTACTTATCCAAAATGCTGTTTGGGGTCTGTGTCAGTGTAATTCCTTTTTGCACTAGGAGGCCGCATCTTCTGCAAAGCAGAAGCCAGAGAAGGAGGCAATGGTTGGTTGGGTTGGGTCGGGTCGGGTCGGGTCGGGTCGGGTCGGGTCGGGTCGGGTCGG